ACAATAATGATAAAATCAAAAGTAAAATAATAGATGAATTAAAAGAAGAGAATTTTAACTAAAAGCTTCGGGTACTGTTCACTTTAACGAAAAAACATATTTTTACACTAAAAAGTCAATCCTGATACTATTCACTTTACCCTTTATTTTGTCTTTATCGTTAAATTTTAAAATTTTCAAACTATTTTCATTAGTTTTCCTTTAAAAGAATTATACTTTTATTATTGCTGTCATTTTGAAAATACACCACTCATAATCCTACAAGAGTTCAATGTCAAATACGAAAAATCTTCTTCAAAATGTGGACGAACATATTTTTTATTTCAAATCCCCAAAAGAGTTCAAACTTGGAAAATAAAACTTACACGACCATCAATAAAATAAGGAAAACTAATGAAAATGATTTGAAAACTTTGAGTTTTAACGATAAGAACAAAATAAAGGGTAAAGTGAATAGTACCATGTTTGACTTTTTGGTGTAAAAATGTAGTTTTTCGTTAAAGTGAACGTATCACGAGTTTTTCGTTAAAGTGAACGTATCACGAGTTTTTCGTTAAAACTCCCTAGATCGATGAAAAGTACAATGTTTTCTTTACAAACGTTTTATGAAAGCAATTGCTTTTATGCTTCTAGGTCTGATTAAGGTTGATGCTCATTACTCCCAAGTCTCCTCATTGTTAGCTTGATGTATTAGAATCTATTTAAATACAATTATATTAGTTTTTTTTTTCCTTGAGGAGACAATTGTATTAGTTTAAAAACACACTAAATAAGTTAAAATAATAAATTAAACAAAAAAGGGACACTTAACGAGGCTCTTTCTTCATCGCCCTCTGCACCTCGGAGGCGAGCTTCCTCCGTGTAGAGGCGAGCATGTGGCACTTGGTATGGATAATGGCTTTATGTCGTGTCTCACCAAGCCCTAATCACACATGCAAAGGCACCATTGTGATCCACAGGTCATCGGGATTCAGAATATGGTGGTTTTGAGGTTCGATTTGGTCGGAATGGTGATGCTTGTGGGTGGTGGTTCTTGGTGATCACGCTGTTGGGGGTTTAAAAATGCTTCACTACTTGGAGAGGTTTATCTCACAAAGAAAATGTAACGCAACGGAATTGATAGGCAAGAGAAAGAAAGAATTCTCAAAGTATTACACAAGGTTTTTATTCACTCACAAACTTAGTACAAGAGGAAACACTCAAACACTCTTAGAAGCTTTGTTGCTTCTTCTTACTTCTTACTTGACACTCTCACTTCTTGCTACTTGCTCTCTTGGTTGTTACAAATGGTGTGGATGCCTTCTCCTTTTATAGGCATGGATGGAACCTTGGAGAAGCATGAAAACATTATGCTAGAGATATCTAGATAATTCCACTACCTTCCTAAGCTAGAATTATCTACACTAATCTTGTATGTTGGTGGAATCCTCACCATTCTTCTAGACTCTTCTACCAACTTGAACTTTGCTAGAATTCTCTAGCATGTGCATGGATCTTTCTTTGTGTATGGGCCGGATCAATTATCTTTGGGCCAAGACAAGATTACAATTCAACATCCCCCCTTAATCTTGTCTTGTGACGCCAATTGAGTTTCTTAGTCTGACAAAGTCTTCTTGTTTGAGTGGCTTGGTGAATATGTCGGCAACTTGGTCTTGAGACTTCACGTATTCCACTTGCACATCCTTTCTTGCAATGCACTCTCTTAAGAAATGATAACGGGTATCTATGTGTTTACTCCTGTCATGGAATACTGGATTCTTTGCTAGAGCTATTGCAGACTTGTTGTCGACATAGATCTTTGTTGGCTCTTCTTGTCGCATTCTTAATTCTTTCAGCAAGTTTCTCAGCCAGATTGCATGGCAGACACATGAAGTAGCAGCTACATATTCAGCTTCGCAGGTAGAGAGAGGGACAATCGGTTGCTTCTTCGACATCCACGTGAATGCAGTGTCTCCCATGAAGAACACAAATCCAGTAGTGCTTTTTCTATCGTCGGAATCTCCTGCCCAATCATTGTCGCTATATCCAGCAAGTTTGTAGTTATCAGAACTTGAATAAAACAAGCCAAAGTTAACAATACCTTTGAGGTATCGAAGAATTCTTTTGGCCGTTTTCAAATGTGTAGTTGTGGGATTCTCCATGTGGCGACTGATTAATCCGACAGCATAGAGAATATCTGGTCTTGTGCAAGTCAAGTAGCGTAAGCTTCCAACTAGACTTTTGAAAAATGTTGGATCTACGCTTTCTCCTTTATCATACTTGGTTAGTTTGACTCCGCACTCCATTGGCGTGCTCATGGGCTTGCAGTTGTCCATTTTGAACTTTTTCAGTATCTCCTTTGTGTAGCTTTCTTGGGAGATGAAAATTCCTTCTTCGTTCTGCTTGACTTCAATGCCTAGGTAATATGCCATTAACCCGATGTCGGTCATCTCAAATTCTTTGGTCATCACTCTCTTGAACTCTTCAAACATGCTTGGATTACTCCCGGTGAAGATTAGATCATCCACATATAAGCACACAATCAAAATATCTTCATCTTTGACTTTGACGTAGAGAGCATGTTCATAAGGGCACTTGATGAAGTTGTTTTCCTGAAAGTACTTGTCGATGCGACTATTCCATGCTCGTGGCGCTTGTTTTAACCCATAGAGGGCTTTTTTCAGCTTCAGAACTTTGTCTTCATGCCCTTTGATCTCATAGCCTGACGGTTGCTGAATGTAGACTTCTTCTTCAAGGACTCCATTTAGGAAGGCGGACTTCACATCCATTTGTTGAATCTTCCAACTGTTTTGAGCTGCCAAAGAAATTAGTAATCGTATAGTTTCCAACCGAGCAACGGGTGCGAATACCTCATCATAGTCGATTCCGGCTCTTTGACTATAGCCTTTCGCCACTAGTCTTGCCTTGTATCTTTCGACCTTTCCATTAGCATTTTTCTTTGTCTTGTACACCCACTTGACTCCAATGGCTTTGTGTCCTTTCGGAAGAATAGCGAGTTCCCATGTATCATTCTTCTGGATTGCTTCAATTTCTTCATCCATTGCTTTCCTCCACTTAGTATCTTGCACTGCTTCTTGGAAGTCGACTGGTTCACAATCAGCAAAGAGACAGAAAAGTGTAGAATTATCAAGTCTTTCAGCTACCTCATAAAGATCTCGTATACTTCTTGTGCGTGGTACTTCTCTTTCATTTAGACTCTCACTTGACAATGCTGATGCTGATGAATTACCATGATTGGTTGATGTTGGTGAAGCAGGTGGAGTAGTGGATTCTTGTTGAACCTCTCTTGCTTGCTCCATCATCCCTTGTTCATTCTCTTCTTCAAATTGAGGAAAGAAGTGAAGATCACCTGCATGCGGGCTAAAATCCCATTCTCCTTCTTCATCGAACATCACGTCTCGACTAATCACCGTTTTCCCATTGTTTGGATTATACAGCTTATAGCCTTTTGAATTGGTGTCATAGCCAATGAAGATGAACTTCTCACTTTTGTCGTCGAGTTTGGTTCTCCTCTCGTCTAGTACGTGTACATGGGCTATGCTTCCAAAAACTCTTAGATGAGAAATACTTGGCTTTCTTCCACTCCATGCTTCTTGCGGAGTTTTTCCCTACACACTCCTTGTTGGAGACCGATTGGATAGGTAGACAGCACATGCTACAGCTTCTGCCCACAATTCCTTAGGCAATTTCTTGCTTTTGAGCATGCTTCGAGCCATGTCGAGGATGGTTCGATTTTTTCTTTCTGCCACTCCATTTTGTTGAGGGGATCTTGGAACTGTCAAAGGTCGACGAATTCCATTTGCTTCACAAAACTCTTGAAATTCCTTCAAAGTGAATTCTCCTCCTCGATCAGATCTCATGGCTTTGATCTTGCAACCACTCTCCTTTTCTACAGCGGCTTTGAACTTCTTGAATGCTCCAAAGACTTCTGATTTCTGCTTCAAGAAATACACCCAGGTTTTTCTTGAAAAATCATCAATGAAGAGAAGGAAATAATTATTTTTACCCAAAGAGCTTGGTTTTATTGGACCGCACACATCGGTGTGAATGAGCTCGAGTGGCTTCTGGGCTCTTGTGGTCGACTCCTTTGGAAAGCTTTTCCTGAACTGTTTCCCAATTAAACATCCTTCACAAACTTGATCAGGGTGGCTGATGCATGGTAAGCCTCTCACTATCTCCTTCTTGGATAATAACTCCAGTCCCCCAAAGTTAAGATGCCCAAAACGAAGATGCCAAAGCCAAGATATGTCTTTGTAACATATCTTGAGACACTTTGCAACATCGTTTTGAATGTTCATGGGAAACATCCTATTCTTTGACATTTTCGCCTTGGCAATTAATCTTCCTTTGTCATCTCTAAGAAAAATGACATAATTTTTCGTATGAAAATCATAACATTTTTCTAAGAGTTGACCCAAACTCAAAATGTTGCTTTTCATATTGGGCACGTAGTAGACATTCGAAATTAATTGGTGACCCCCATTTTCCAGGGGAATAAGGATGTTACCTTTTCCTTTTACGGGTATATTGGATTCATCTCCAAAAGAAACGTTGCCACTCATTGATTCATTGAGCTCTATGAAGATGCTTCTTCTTCCGCACATGTGGTTGCTAGCGCCGGTGTCAAGGTACCATGTATAGTCTTGGCCTCCATCATTGTTCTTGCATGCTAGTAGCACAACACCATTCTCTTCTTTCACATAATTGACCTTCTCATCAAGTCTGCTGTTTGGAGCTCTACATTCCCAAGCATAATGCCCAAACTTTTGACAATTATAGCATTGAACATGAGATTTTTCATACCTCGAGTTTGAGCGTCCTCTTCCGCGACCTTTTGTTGAGCTTTCTCCTCTTTCGTAGTTGCTATGGTTGTTTAAGTTCCAACCACATCCACGCCCATGTCCACGTCCGCGACCTCGACCACGACTTCTTCCGTATTGGCTTCTCTCGTTGTTGAAGCTTTCTTCTTTCTTCTTTGGCTGGATATATGTCTTGAGGAGCTACTCATCATTCTCTTGCCTCTTCTTATGTTTCTCTTCATATGCTTGTAGCGAACCCATTAATTGCTCTATACTAATTTCTTCCAAGTTTTTAGTTTCTTCAATCGTCACGACAATGTGCTCGAACTTGGGGTCCAACGAGCGTAGTATCTTCTCCATAATTCTAACATCTTCTAACTTTTCTCCGTTTCTTTTTAATTGATTGGAAACAGCTAAGACTCTTGAGAAATAATCAGAGATTGATTCAGACCCTTTCATTTGTAGAGATTTGAACTCACCTCTTAATACTTGAAGACGAACCTTTTTCACTTGTTCGGCTCCTTTGTAAGAGGTTTGAAGCTTCTCCCATGCTTGCTTGGCAGAGGTTGCACTCGAGACCTTCTCAAAGCCATTGTCATCTAATGCTTGGTAGATGAGATAAAGAGCCTTCTTCTCTCTCTTTCTTGAATCTTTCAAACTCTCCTTCTGGGGTTGAGACAGAGTAGCTTCATCTTCTGGCTCAGTGTAGCCTTTCTCCACGACTTCCCAGACATCGTGTGCACCCAAAAGGGCCTTCATTTTGATACTCCAATTATCGAAGTTGTTGTTGTCGAGCACTGGAACTTGGAAGGCTGCCATAGTGTTGCTAGCCATAGCTCTGGTACCACTTTGTTGGGGGTTTAAAAATGCTTCACTACTTGGAGAGGTTTATCTCACAAAGAAAATGTAACGCAGCGGAATTGATAGGCAAGAGAAAGAAAGAATTCTCAAAGTATTACACAAGGTTTTTATTCACTCACAAACTTAGTACAAGAGGAAACACTCAAACACTCTTAGAAGCTTTGTTGCTTCTTCTTACTTCTTACTTGACACTCTCACTTCTTGCTACTTGCTCTCTTGGTTGTTACAAATGGTGTGGATGCCTTCACCTTTTATAGGCATGGATGGAACCTTGGAGAAGCATGAAAACATTATGCTAGAGATATCTAGATAATTCCACAACCTTCCTAAGCTAGAATTATCTACACTAATCTTGTATGTTGGTGGAATCCTCACCATTCTTCTAGACTCTTCTACCAACTTGAACTTTGCTAGAATTCTCTAGCATGTGCATGGATCTTTCTTTGTGTATGGGCCAGATCAATTATCTTTGGGCCAAGACAAGATTACAATTCAACACACGCATCCTCTAAGTTTCCTTTTGTCCAGAAATCCCTAAGTCATTATGCAATCGTTGTATGCCTTCAAGTTAGATGGGCTATCATTCTGCCTGTGGTTCTGCTGCTTTGTGATTTTGTGGTGGTCTATGCTTCGCTTCTTGCAATAGCTGGACCGGATAATTGGCAGAGCCTGCGTCCAACGAACTTTCATTATGATCCTCTTCATGGATTGAGCATTGACCTAATTCCTAGGGCACACCCCTAGAATTACGAACATTTTCCTGGGGAAAAGCCAAGTGTGAACCCTTCCCTCGAACCCAAGGCAGGAAGGTACATCAGAGCAAGGGCCAAGCCTAGACTGAACACTCCGGGATACTTTGCTTCTCGATCTGCGATCTCCTTTCTTATTTGCTGAATGGTCTTCAAGCTCATGCCTCTGATGCTGACGTCTGGTGACTACTGCTCAAACTCTCTTTGATTTGGCAAAGAGTTGATTTTGAGCACCATCCTCTGCTCGTTGAGCACCGCAGTTAGGTATGTTACTTGGAGCACCGTGGTTAGGTATGTTACTTGGAAAGAAAGAGATCCCAGATGGGTAGAAACCCCAGTGGTTTGCTTTAGCTCCAGTCAGTTAGCAAACACGTGATGCACTGCCGGCAAAGCCACTAGAGGCTGAATTGATGGGCCAAAGCCCATGGGAGCTAGAGTTTCTAAATCAACGGGCTCGGGCCATGAAGTTTATTCAACCGAGACCATCCGTAGCGGGTAACGCCGCTCGGTAGAAGGTGGTTGAAGTAATGATTGTATTTCGGTAGGTGGTTGTCGAACTAGTGGTAGCTTTTTGGCAGAGTGGGCTGAATGTGGTGAGGCTACACCGACGACAGCTGCTGACACTACTGCTGTTGTGGCATCACGGCCAAAGAAGTGGCACACCAACGGTTGTCGCAGTAACCGTGACCGTGATTTAAGGCATCGACGAAGTCACAACAATCTTAATTCGCTCCAATTCTTGGGTAAAAGGTGCACAGGAGGCATGACAGACAAAATCCGAATTGACATTCTAGAGCCTCTCAGAATCCATGGCAATCTTAGATTGCAAGGATTAAGAGTTGTTATACTTGCGGATCTTCGCGTGTCCACCATGTTATTCGTTATGAACAAAGATGATCAAAATCCAATATGAATCGCCAAATACATGTTTTCATTCATCGTACACATTAGATGAGTATGACACCCTAATAGACAAAGAAGAATTGGTTTTTAATGAGGCTCATAATCAATTGCAACCCATCACAGTATAAAATAGGAAACTAATTCTCAAAATTTGCTCAATAGGATTGCTTCTAAAAATAGTATTCATTTAACAAAATACTAAACTATTGTAAAGGACTTCTATAAAATATCCTATCATTTCTCAAAAATTGCAAAGTTCTTTCATTGTAATATATGTTTTAAGGAAACGATATTTATTACATAAACTTTAACAGTATATCAAAGACATTTACAATATAACACTGAATATAAGATAACGTGAAACAAAGCGCATAAAATCCACATTAGCCAAAACCTTAAAGTCATAATCCACAATCCTAAACCTTGATCAACTGTGAATCGAATCCATGCAGCCATAGATCTCCTCGTGTCCTACCTTGGAGATCATGTGTAACATTTGACGGATTTGTGAACTCAAACTTTCACTGATCCAATTGCGCATAAAAGTGAACAAAAAGCCAGGATTTCACTTATTACCCAAAAACATATGAGTATATCGCAATAACGTTGTAACGGAGGGACATGAAAGTTGTAATGGTGAACTCAAATTATATGAGCATACCTCATATCAAATCACCATAGGAAAATTCACCACAAAGGAACATTATTCACCCGAAGAAATTACACTAAACGAAAAGAAAAAGAGGAGAAGGGGAGGGGAGGAAAACAGACAGCGCTCTACCTCCTCCCCCTCCACTAGTGCCTAGGGGTTCTCTTTGGTCAACTTCAGAGTTTTTCGAGGTCTATGAGATTTTTTTCAAGATCCTATTAGTTTTTTTCAAGGTCTTTTTTTTCACTGTAAAATATTTAGGCCACTGTAAAATTTTTAACACGAGGAAAAGAAAACGCAAGAATTTCATAACTTGTTACATTATACTCTATCTCAAGCAGCCAAGTATTCAATCCCAGCCTTAATTCGCTTTGGCATCTGAGTTTCATAACCATCCGATGTCGATGCCAACGCAGACGAGTGGTCAGGCGAGCGGCGCCGGTTAGGGGTCACCCTAACGGGCTCAATGCTACTCGAGCCAATCAAGTGAGGAAAATTCAGCTTGGCTTTGCAGCCACGTAGCTTAAACGCGGCTCGGTCATAAGCCAACCCCGCGTCCTCTGGCGTCTCATAAATCCCAAGCCACAGTCTCGCACCGTTCTTCGCCGGATCTCTTATCTCTGCTGCGTACTTCCCCCACGGCCTCCTTCTCACCCCTCTATAATGTTTCACAGCGTAAACCTCACGCGCCACTGCTGCTTCATTCTTTACAGCGCCATGCAAACCTCCAAAGGCAGCCTGCGCGTCATGATCAGTGACTACAAACAATGACTCCCACCAATCTTCCGTTGTTAAAACTGGAAATATGACCGGAACATTATTTGGGCTAACACTCATTGCCCGAGGCTCCAAGTCATCAAGATGTTAGTGAATGGATTCAAGAAGAGCAAAATCGTCCGATTCTAGTTCTAGGGTTTCCTGTCCGTACATGTTTCTAAACTGTATATTATGTACGTATATAATGCACGAAATTGAATGAATGGGTTAGGGTTGAAGATTCTTGTGAATGATTTCTATGGAGAGAGTTTTTTGTGATCATGTTTTGTTTAATTTGTTACAGAAGCTATGGCTTTATTAAGCATCGCAGGCAGCTTCAATCGACTTTCAAGTTTCATGGCAGTGCGTGCAATAATTAAGAACTCTTTGTAGCATTTTTGTCACGTGCAGTAATTATGTGATACTTAATTAGTACTAATAATCCAAAATCAAATAAATTAATCGAATTATAGATCGTGTATATTTTTATAGCGTGGTATGTTGGACTCCATAATTATAAGTGACATCGCAGCCTAATAGGGTCAAAAGCTCTCTCCATCACAAGCAACCCTTTATTTGTCTTACTATACGTGTAACACATGCATTTTAATAAAATATTTTTTTTTTATCAGATTGAATTTGGGATTAAAGTTGGGAAGTCAAGTTCCTTATTTTATTGGAAAATACCCCAAAATAGGATATTTTCTTAATCTTTGGATAGAAATAGGATTTTTTGAATATGCACATACCATGCACATGGCATGCACAACAATATGACAAAAATATGATTTTTTCTACAACTGAAAATCACCTAATTGCCCTCGTATATAAATGTGTTGTTTCCTCTCATTTTCTAATTTTTTTTCCCTCTCTCTACTCTCTCTCTGTCGAAGAACCTTAACGATGCACTCACCCTCTAACAACCCACCTCACCGGCACCAACCGTTTCTCTCTCACCGATAGCCATCGTTTCACCAGTCCCCTCTCTCCTTTGTTTTCGAACTGGTGACCCAAGATTCAGATTGCATCTAACTTTTGGGTGGCAGTACAATTCCCAACTCACAATCCCAAAAGCTTGGTGTGTAATGGATAATAATTCATCCACCAAAGCTCTCATGAAGGTTGTAGATGGGATTGGATGAATCATCATGAGCCAAAGGCCAGTATGAGTGATGGGGTTTTCTTTACAATATTTGGGGAATAGTTTTTTTAATATTTTAAAGGTTTGTTTATGGGTTTTGATTTCAAAGTCAATATTCATGAGTATTAATTTTTGGGTTCGTATGCTTTATGGCTGCTGGGTTTCTTGGTTTTGCCTGTATTTTATGATTTCGTGGGTTTTATGGTTAGGGTCAAATATTTCTTGGTTTTGGCTTCAATTTTTTAGAAATTATTTTGTGCGTTTTATGGCTGGGGTCAAATATTTCTTGGTTTTGGCTTCAAATTTCTAGAAAATTATACACTGTATGCACACGAGATGCGTAATGGAGGTCAAATTTGGATTTGTGCTTAATTATTTTAGTCCAATTCGAACCTATGACATCGGGTTTTGGAGACTTAAGCATGCATTGTTCATGCTTTGTGTTTCATTTAAGAAAACAAACAGTGTTAATGTTACCAAAAACTTCTTCCTTTTCCATTTACTAACAAAAAATACATAACAACTAAATTTGCAGAAAAGTTAAGGAAAAGAAACAAATCTAGTCCTTATTAAAACCATTTAACATATCATAAAATATGTTCATTTCCTAATGCCTTTCATTCTTTATCCCTTCATTTTCTTTGCTCTTGTAAATTGTTTGGTTATTCTTTTATCTTTGAATTTATATGTATATGTACGTACGTACGTATCTATGTATGTGTATCTACTACACTGAATTCGCAGGCTTTTAGTTTGTTTAAGTGCTGAATTTCTGTAAATCTGCATTTTCAAATGCTGAATTTTTTTTACCTAAACTTTGTTTCCCTATTTTCCCATACAGGTTGCTCTGCTTGGGTTCAGTTTTAAGCGCATTGAAAATGGAGGGGAAATTGATGCCAGTGCAACTTGGGACTACGCTGAGATTCAGATTTTTCCATCCCAGAACAGGTTAGGTTTTCACCTTCCGGTAAATTTTATTCTTTTAAGGGTATATGTTTTCTCCTCTGTTGTATTGGATTATAAAAGTTTGTTCTTTCTGTATATGCTACACTAAGTGCATTATTATTTCCCGTTGGTGATTCCTTTTGTTTGGTTATTCCATTGGAGAGTAACTACATGTTTTTTTTTTTTTTGTGTATTAGAATTGATAAGTTACCTTTCCTCTCTTCCGACTTATAATAAATTGATAAATTATAATGATTTTTCATATTGTTGTATAGTTCCCTACCGAGTGGAAGCACGAAAGACATTATCAAAGCTAAAAACAACTTGATTATAAGCAGGTTAGATTTCAAAAAACTTATTTATTAGCTTGTGCTTGCCTGGTTATTTGTTTTTTTTTACTTATTCTTTGCTCTTTTCTTCAATTTGGCTGGTTGTTGCATTATGCTGCGAAGAGTATATCTTTCTACTATTATAATTAGGACTGGTGTAACAACTTGCTATTTAGCTACTCTCTTACATAAGAAATTGTTAAAGTTTATGGTATGTGTATTTAGGCAATGATTGAAAAATATTTATGTATTTTGGTTGGCGTTTCTGTCGAAATTTTGCTACATAGTCTTTGAAAAGAAAGTAGCAATGCATCAGCATTGCTGCTTTTACTGCTCGATAGATTTCTCACTCATGTTCATTTTCAGAGGCTGAAGCAGGGGCTGAAGGTTGTTTGCGGTGGTTGAGGGTTGTCTGGCATGCGAGGAACTCGAGAGTAATGGTATTTGTTAGGTTCTTAGATTTAGTTATTAGTTTTTCATGGAATAAAAAATGTATTATGAATTATTTTCATTATATGTATGAATAATTTTTTATTGATGGTATTACTATTTAAATATTTTTTTTTGATATATTTATCCTATTGGGCACAATAACAAACTTGTGCTAACGAAAAAGTCATCTGATATGGGTGTCAGAAAAGAGGCACAGAAATCCCTTATTTGTGCTGAGCCTTTTGGGCAACAAAGATCATATTGTGCCCTTTGACAAATGGTGACGCCCATAGAGGGCACAAACACAAAGATAGTAGCTGCATTGTTGCTATTGGTCTATGAGCACAATTGTTGGTGCTTTTTGGCCTCAAAGGGCACAAATAATTTATTGTGTGCAGTGCTCATTTTTCTTGTAGTGCGAGCCAAAATACAATACTAAAACATCATTTGAACTTCGTAATTTTTAGCATTGTGGTCCCACTGGCATGCCTACACAACCTACTTGGCGTGCAGGCCAAGGACAAAGAGTTAACTAAGTCCTTTTGTGATTGAATATTAAAGTAGGCGTGCCAATTCGCTACTGAACTTGGTCAGGCGAATAATTCTGAATGTGATGGAATACACTTCTGACTTCTCAATCAGGCAACCTCAGCCGAGAAAGGAACACTCTCGGCCTTGACTTCTAAAACCTTAAGAGAGTGTTATGCAAATCACTGTGTAGATATGGATCTTAAATGACCAGGTTTGGCAGCTTCAACTATACTTATAAAAATATAAGTGTGCCCAATTGGTATCAAATTGCAGGGGCACCAAAAAATTCTCAAATGTATGGTTGGCACTTGGAACTGAAAATCGAAACCAAAACACAAACCAAATCGGACCACACCAAATTGTTCGGTTTTGCGGTTTTGAAACTGAACCGCAATGTAGTGAAACGGTTTGGTTTTGGTTTTGGCTTTTGAAAACTACAACAAAACTAAAACCGCACCTCAATTTAAATGTCGTGTTTTAATTTGCTATTTTAGAGTCCATACATTTAGTATGGACTCAACCACACTAAAATGCCATCCCTTTCCACCCCTACCACACAAAATTCTTAATTATATCAATACATCAACTTTATGTAGAAACTAGAAAGCTAATTCGTTTATTGAGAGAGAGAGAGAGAGAGAACAATCACTTTCACTTCTCTCTGGAAACCTCTGTGAACTTTGAAATCCCTCACATTGAAGTTGGGGAGGGGGGCAAACTGCCATGAACTCTTGTTAAAAAACAACGTTAGGCCATTGCCACTTTTAAGCTTCTCTTTTCTTATAACAACTTCGTATAATCTTGAAAAAAAGTTGTTCTTCTTATAATCTTACTACAATTTGCTGCAAGTTTGGTGCAGTTTTGCTGCAGGTCATTAATTAATGCATTGTGTGGAAAATGAGAGCGTCTTATGCATGGATAGGTGTAAATTTTAAACTGTACATCTTTTCTCAAAAACCAAATCGAAACCGTCTGAACCACACGGAAATGAACCAAACGGTTTGGTTTCATTTCTGTTTTGGCTTCAAAATAGCATCGCATCGAACCGCAAAATGTTTTGGTTTCAGTTTCGATTCCACTCAAAATCGCACTGAACTGAACCATGTCCACCCCTACTCAAAGGAGATGAGTGTCCTTATGGTGAAAGTGGTTCAACCATCGATATGCCAAACTCTGAAAGTCAGTTGGGAATATCTGATCCTAGAAGACTCAACTTTGCCAAGAAAGCTAATCAAGTGACATCGTTCAATGAAAGAATAGCAAAAAAACACTTTGCCAACAAAGACTTGGGATAAATAACTAGTAAAAAATGAGAACTTGATGTTTAACCAAACGGCCGAACCACCTTCACCATAAAGATACTCATCTCCTTTGAGTATCTTACCCCTACAATTTAATACCAATTCGGTGCACCTATATTTTTAAAAATATAGTTGAAGTTTGAATTTCATAGCAAAAGGCATAACCTTGTCTTCAGGTTTTAAAAAAAAAGCCCAGAGTGTTCCATCCTTGGTTGAGGTCCCCTATTCAGGAGTTAAGAGCACATTCTATTACATTACCTTACTCAGAATTATTGGCACAGCCAAGCTTGGTGGCAAATTGACATGCCTGTATCAGCAATCAGTTACTGAAGTTCGTAGTTAACTTATTCAGTTGCTCAACCTACATGCCACATAAATTTTGTAATTTTTAAAGTCAACACTAAGAAAGGCATCGCGCAATCGATCAACACTGACCGTTAAGCTTGCTTCTCCCTAATGCATAATTAGCTTGGATATTGGGAGGTTTCTCCTAGTAATAGTATTAACTGTTTCATGAAATGTAAAGGTTCAAAATAATAACATGATTCTCCAACCATATCCGATTTAATATCAAAGGTTAGGATTGGAAGATCAAAGCACGACATCAAATGCAATAGCACCAGAGAGAATTCGGGGGTGTGGCCAGAAGAATCTTTACCAGTTTTTATAGAAAAGTTTTGACAGATTTATTGGATCTTGATAGGTTGAGTAATATGATTTTTTTATTTATTTTTTGTTTAGATTGATTAAAATTGAAAAAGAATAAGTACCGTTGGCCTGTCTTCCGAGTCCCAAGCAACAACTTCGTTTACAAGTATTTTCTTTTCAATCAATCGAAAATATTCGATCTGATTGATAAAGAAAAGAAAGATACTGAACTTATTGTGGAAGGACAAATGACAATAAAATTTTAGCTGCCATTAAACTAGGCTGGTGACTGCCTTGAACGTGTGTTAGACATTTCCTGTAGATCTCTATTTAAATTTATGTAATATAATATGTATGTAAAAATCAATTATTTTTATTTTATCTTCCAATAGTTTCCAATTTAATAATATAAATTTAGTAAATGTGCAATTTTCAAATTTAAAAAATCCATTTATAAGCATGTTTTTTTTTTCAACTTTAGAATTGTTTCAGCTACTATAATACTTATAGTGCCCATTATACCTAACGAAATAATTAGCTAGTATTAGTGTTTTGGTAGTTCATATCCCCATTTTATAATTAACGAAGTGATAGTTTTTGTTCTTTAGCTTGGAAAAAAAACACAAATGATGATGAATATTATTCCATTTTAGAACCCAATAGATCAAAAGTCACCCAATTGTTATTAGAAAATTATAACCCTTTATTATTATTATTTTACATTATATATATTTTTTCAATTATTTATTTTAGGGTAATGCTAATTAAGGAGACTATCTATCTAAACTATAATTTATAAATCATATGACGTAGTAGTTGATAATTAGATTATTTTAAAGTGTTGATTAACATGTTTTTTTTATTGGTAACATATCACATAATTTACAAATTTATTCTAAAAAAAAATTGATATGCTTACCATTACTCTTTACTTTATATTGAGTGCATTAGCTCTAGCAATATATATAGGGGTGTGATATCCACACACCCAATTTTACTTCTCACACATCTTTTTAATTTTCGGCCGTTGGATCAAATGAATTGAAGAAAATCAACGGACAGAAATTATCAAGGATGTGTGAAAAGTAAAATGGGGTGTGTGGATAGCACTTCCCTGTATATATAAAAAGAGATGTTATTTGGTCTATTACATGGATGCATGCTAGCCACTACCGCCAAGACACCAACCAACATTTAGATACAATAATTCAGGCCAAGGATTGACCTGTACTGTGCCACTGCCCACTTGCCATGCAGCAATGTAGCCATCTGAAATCACTGTTATCGAAAAATATAAAAAATAAATGATATGAGTCAGTGACAAATAGATGAATCAATTAATTAAACCCACGAAATTAGTAACTTATTTATTTAGTAAACAAATATTGTAACATGTGATGCATGTGGGAAACCTTGATCAATAATGAAGTTTCATGGAAATGATAACAGTACTGGTAAGAAAGTTACAATTATAAGCAATACCTCATTGCCCACGTATAAATACACACAACACAAGGTCTAAACCACTACAACAACAACAACTAGTATCTACAGTACTACTACCACATCCTTCAACCTCCAAAAGCCTATTCAAAACCAATTCCAGAACCCTAACAAGTAAAAATGTTTGAAGATATTTGCTTGGTGTCTGATTTTGCTCTTTTGGAGTCGATTCGGCAACACCTTCTCGACGATAATTTTGATACTACTTTGCAAGAATCATCACCAACAGCTTCAGGCAGTCCTCCCCCAATGCACTCCCAGAGTTTAAGCTTCAACACCCTCTTCTCGACGGAAAGTTGGGTGGACATGCCGTTTAAAGTGGAACTGGAAGACACTAACGACGTTGTTGGTTCTCTGTCTGATGGCACAGACGGGTGGAGTCCATCATCAGATCACCATCACGTTGATGTTGTTGAGACCACACCCGTGAAACCGAAGCCTTGGGAGATTGTCAAGGAAGAGATAGTGGTGGCGCGTGAGACTCACACGCCACCGTCGCGGCAGCACTTTCGAGGCGTGAGACGGAGGCCATGGGGGAAATACGCGGCGGAGATTAGGGATCCCAAGAAGAACGGGGCCAGAGTGTGGCTTGGGACTTATGAGACGGCTGAGGGTGCGGCATTGGCTTATGACCAAGCCGCTTTTAAGATGCGCGGCTCCAAAGCCAAGCTCAACTTCCCTCATCTTATTGGCTCGGAGGGATGTGAGCCCGTTCGAGTAACAGCAAAGCGGCGTGCCCCGGAGTTCTCCACTTCTTCTTCCTCGTCAGAAAGTGGGTCGCCGAAGCCGAAAAGGAGGAATATTGGACTCCGAACGGCGGCTGAAGCCGAGTCGGGTAGCACAAGCCGGGTTGAGATGAGCCAGCTAGCTGCTGTTGATCAGTGGCTAAGTGATCTTAACACAACAGTGTCCCCAATGCCACATGAATTATTGATTAGTGGTTTATGATTAATATTTAATGCTGGTTAATTGTTGCATTATTTAGAGTAATTGGAGATTCCCCAAGTGTAAAGCGTTGGATTTTTTTTTTTTATTCCACCTTTTCGTTTTGTACGTGATCGTTAATGGAGACTAAATTTTTGTTATTTATTATGTACCTTCCTTTCCTTTTGGTGGGATATTTTTCATTTTTTTTTCTTTTTACATGACAGAAGAAATAAATAATAAATAAAGTATGTAATTGATAGAAGAATGGTAGAGATCAATATAGGAGGTTTTGGTTTGATACAATAAGAAATAAAGTTAGGGATCCTTAATAGCGCATCTCACTTTTTTTTTTCTTTTCTGAACAACGATATTATCTATATTAAGAGGGTGGGGGAATTAGTTTATCCTTACAATGGCTAACAATAATATGATTCAAATTCGTTTTTGGCGAAAATCAAATTTAAGATCTCTCACTTACCAGTGAAGATGAATACTACTATTTTATTAAAGGGAAATTTGTTATATATAAATTATAAGGATTAATATACTTCTCCCATACTGTATTTCATAATTACAAGGCACAAATAGAAATATGGGTAAAGCTACAGAGACCAAACTTTTAAACCAAATGATGTGGTTGTTGATGATTGGATTATTACTGAAGTGTTGAGTAACGTGCTTATTTCTTAGAGATATTCATCAATTTACCCCATGTTGTGACCATTGGCCAATTTCCCCCCTTAACTTTAATTTTGGCTAATTTCTCTCCTCAACTCTCATAATTAGTCAATTTCTCCCCTCAACTTAAATTTTGGCCAATTTCCCCCCTCAACTCTCATAATTAGTCAATTTGCACCCTACTGTTAATTTTTTTAATTTTCCATCTACTCTTCCGTTAAGTAGGTATCCGCATGATTGCCTTTGAAGGAAAAAAAAAAGTCAATTTGTACCCTACTGTCATTTTTTTCAATTTGCACCCTACTATCATTTTCCGTTAAGTAAGTTTCCCTACACCTTAACAGAGGTAAACGAGGCCAAAGGAAGAGGTGACGGGGTGTGGGCAGCTGCAAACTGCAAAAGCAGCATATCAAATGGATTGGACTACAAACAACAGAGGAGTGAGGCATTGGTGGCAGTCATGGGCTCAGCTTCAACAAAAGGAAGAACAAGAGAAAGTTCGAAGAAAAGGAAGAAGATAGAAAGTGTAGGGAAAATGACTTTTTTGCCCTTTAAAGGCAGTCATGCGGATGCCTACTTAACGGAAGAATAGATGGAAAATTAAAAAAATTAACAGTAGGGTGCAAATTGACTAATTATGAGAGTTGAGAGGGAAAATTGGCTAAAATTAAAGTTGAAGGGGAAAATTGACTAATTATGATAGTTGAGGGGGGAAATTAGCCAATCCTTACAAGTTCAGGGGGTAAATTGATGAATACCTCTATTTCTTATTGGTGACACATCATTTGGATAAAAAAATTGATCTACCTAATTATCACGCCCCGATCCCTACATACGTCCAAGATCAACACATGATGTCAACAAGTATCTGTATACCTAACAAACTTCGCCTCCGGGATATGTACGAAGCATAATTCAAGATTCAAATTGCATAGTAATTTTCGTATACTTTATGGCTGCATCTAACCTCCTTGTTAAACTGTCTACGTACCCTAAAAAGGGATCAAGCCATTTGTAGTTCACCATCCACTACACCCTGACGTTTATCATAGCACGTTCAAGCAAAAAAGCATAGCATTCCTCAATCATTTATTAGAACTTGACATGCTTGAAATTACTAGATTTAAGGCTACATAACCAACTCACATGACAACCAAGATTTCCACTTCATCGATCACATAAATCACTATGTTTCAACACAATACCGCAATACATAGCATGCAACATCTCAAAGAACAATCAACGCAGCACAATATTATTCTCTCGCCACATTGGTTAACAAGTCTAATCGTAATAATAACAATCATACCCCACATCATTCCACAATCACTCCAATTAAGCAATTCCATGAATCAAAGATGTACAATATTAACATTTAACTATGTTAATCAATCAAGGAGACAACATATCAATTCATGAAACTTAATAAAGGAATTCTACATAATTCCCTACCTGGATTCCAAGTAATAACATGATAAATCTAATTTATAAACACAACTTCTACTGTGAGCAATTCCTACTCACTCGGATATAAGGTCAGACTAAACTGATGGAAATGAGCAAGAGTAGGGATTCCGGAACACTCAACGGAATCCAACCAAAATATGATCACCTATCAAAATGTACCAACTACAACTAATCATCATCACCCTTAGAATGTGTATGGTCCCCCATCCTAACTCTAGGTAGTGATCACCCATCACCTATCGCGGATATACCAAGCATAATGCAGAACCATAGGCATAATTTCATCGTGCAAGAAGCGATCACCTATCGCAGATATACTAAGCAGGACCACATCTTAACTCTAGGTAGTGATCACCCATCATGGATATACCAAGCATGATCACTCCTAGAATGTGTATGGTCCCCCATCACAGATATACCAAGCAGAACCATAAGCATAATCAAATAAAGTAGGCAGTGATCACCCATCGTGAATATACCAAGCATGATCACTCCTAATAGTCCCTCATCGTGGATATACCAAGCAGGACTACATCCTATACTCTAGGTAATGATCACCCATCGCGGATATACCAAGCATGATCACTCCTAAAATGCGTATGGCCCCCCATCGCGGATATACCAAGCATAACCATAAGCATTGTCTAATCAAGCAGGCGGTGATCACCCATCGCAGATATACCAAGCATGATTACCCCTAAAATATGTATGGTCCCCCATCGCAAATATACCAAGTAGGACCATCCATGTACCACTACTACAAGGTGCAATATATTCAACACATAACCTACCCATACCTCAACCCCTATGAGTTACAATGTAGTCACCTACACCATCAACTTTTCATGGCCACCAACTAATATGTCGCACAAGCATATAAGTTCTACATAATACTTCTAATAGGATTCTAGGATCATATTGTCATAACATTTATCATACTTATCATTCACGTTATTAAGAAGATAAATAAACACATATATATCATAATATGATCTCCCATACAAGTAAACCGATGTGTATATTATCTGGGATAACTCACTAACTAATATAGGCCCACTAAGCCCTACATATTCTCTACTAATACTGATTTTAATATTTAAGATCAATTCGTAGCATATTGACCAAAAGTCAAGTCTCTGTCAAATGTGGGGTCCACAACCCTATACAAGTTAATCTGGAACATCCGCCTATGGATTTCTGATCCATAACTTCCTAAAGGTCTCATTTATCTTCTAGAACAATATTCTAAAATTTCGGAATGATCCAACGGTCGGATCTCCGTCAATTGCTAGAATTAGGTTGCTATCAACATTTGGTTTTACAAACTTAAAAATTCAATTTGGGAAGATCAGTACGTCGGATTCCCAATCCATCAGTTCCTACGGTCCTCAAATATTACATACTATAATGTGTTAAGGTTTTGGTGTTGATCCAACAATGGGATCGTCAATCCATATAATGACCAAATTGCGGTCTCTAACAAAACTATGTTCAAATGACAGAATTTCGTCAATCGGACGTCACTTACGGAATTGGGCATTAAAATTAGCCTATGAAGATTAGGTGGGGTCTCAGCCGACATGCCGCTGCTCACAGTGGCCGGTCATCCTGACTCGCCGGAAAATTCAACTATTCCAAAAAATTACCAAATTTTACAGAAATGTAGATCAAAACAAGGGGAAGAACTTTCATACTCGGTCAAAGTCCAATTGGGTTGGGAAACGCCTGAAAACACCCTCAATCCGCCGGAAACCCTTTAAATTGGTGTTCTCGATTCGACCTCAAAACGAGCTCCAACGCCTCCTCCACCACTGCTTGGGCTTTGTTCCTAAGGTTGAGGGGAGTCTATTGGTAGTGGTGGTTGAAGGAGTTACCTTCAGATTTAATGAATCGTCGCCGTACACCCATACGCACCCATCGTCGGTTTTTCACCAAAACTACAACTAATTTATTTCTAATTTTGGGTGAAAATGGAAAAGGGAAGGCTAGGAAGTTGTCTTCAGGTGATGATTTTTTGTGATTTGCCGTGAATGGCATCGAGAAAAATGGCACCGCCACCAGGTCGAGTCGAGCCTGAAACAGGTTGAAGGGAGGTCTGGTTCGCTGGCTCTCCCCTCTCATTTTCCCTCCTTCCTTCCCTTCTGATTGGTCACTCCCCCCTCATTTTCTCTCTCGCAACTCTTTATTTTCCTTTCTCTCCTGCTGCCATCTGGCAGCATCTAATTTTTATTTTTATTATTATCCGTTTTAACAACTAAAACGTCTCTAATTTCTTCGTTTCAATTCCAATTCACAAACGGTTTCTGCCTACGCGCTCCTAAGATTGAGCTTTGTCCAATTGTATTTAATGTGACCTCGTAAGGTTTAATAAAACGCGCTCCTACGATTATTGACCATTCAAAAATTGTAATTAGTTTAATTAAAATCTAAATTTAATAAAACTCGTATAAATTCTGGAAAATAACATAAAATCTTGTTAATACAAATACTTAGTTTTCAATAGTGAAAACCAGGAATGGAATTTCACACTAACATTACCCTAGAAGTGTGATTAGAATTTAGATCCTCCAATCAAAACATAGAAAAACACATGTGCAAAATGACTCCTTACACAAGTTAATAATCATTTATCTAAGTTGACATTTTATTTTTATATTTATATTATTTGTATTTATCAAATAGTCCATCTATCTATTATGAAATCGTAAGAACTACTCCAACGCTTGGAGCAAAACTCAAATTTTAGGTTCTAAACATATCCCAACTTGCTCCAACTCTTGGACTAAAAATGAGTTTTAACCCAAAATCAATTTTGGGGCAAATTCCAGCCAGGATTCCATATTGGGTTAGTGGATTGGCCCACAGATGAAAGTGGGGGCACCTAGAAAAAGTTCAGACGTAGCGAGCTTCACTCGCCAACGCTCTCTACGCGCGATGCTCTAACACAAATAGGCACCACGTACGTGGGTCATGTCGGCCACCATAATGAGGCCCAACGGCTCTTTAACAAATC